GTGGTGGATCAACAGCAGCGTCCACATCATCTAGGTCAACATCCTCCTCTGCCTCCTCCTCCTGGCCCTCTGGCTGATCCGCCGGCTGGTCCTCCGCGGGGATCTGAGGTTCCGGAAACCCATCGATCCATAGAACACCTTGCCTCTCTCGCATCAGTTGCATTTTACCGATCGTCTTCCTGCCAAAGACGAGGGTGTCCCCCTGCTGTGTGCACCCCTACAGTGAAAGCCCGAAGTAGGTGGCCAGGCGGGTGATGAGGGGGGCGCAGTGGAGGCTCTTCAGTTCCGTAGCAGTCTTCTCGAAGGTCCTGGCCACCACCGAACCCAAGTGGAGGGGATGGTTGTACTACGGATCGAAGCGATGAAGTACATGGCCCTCTTGGTAATGGCGCTGGCACTGTCTGACGCTGGGGTGTAAGACTTCGCCAGCAGGTGGTGGAGAAGGCGGTTGTCGAGCAGCAGGGTAGATGCCTTCGTCCTCCCAGCCGAGAAGGGACGCGTCTGGCCTGGCCGAGCCAGGCGGGTGTACAGCCTCCGGAAGTCCACCTCCAGCGGGTCATTGACCTCGGTGATGTAGCGCCCACGGTCGTCTAGGTCGAGATCCTCGGCAAGCTCGTGGTAGCTCATGGACCAGGGGGCACCGCCGAGCCTGAATTGGACGGCTGTACCGTCTCTCCAATCGTCCGTGGTCGTGTGCTTGAAGGTCGTGTAGAACTCCAGCACGGGCTCGTAGTAGACCTTTTCACAGATGCAGAGCAGACGGCGCCATGCGCGGTTGGCGACGGCGGCGGAGAGTTGCTCGTAGCAGTTCAATTTCTGGAACTCCCGTTTGGACCAGCAATGGTGCTGGCCAAACGGGCATGCCAGGACCTGCTTGAAGCGATTCTCGTGGGGCCCCTCTTCAGATCCCGGATGAACGGGTGCTTGAGGTCAGGTTTCGACATTGTCCTGCAAAAGAACAACCCAAAGTGGAACCAAAAGAGCCAAGAAAAATGTTAATCACACCCCCACACTTAAGAACAGAAATCATCCTAACCATGGTTTCATCCATGGTTCGGGGGTCAAAAACTCGATAAAGCAAGCCTAATCTGAGTGGGGGTGCACATCCATGAACAAGTAGGCAACTCAAGGTTCACATTCATAACAAAAACACCCTCAAAGCACATCATTAAGGGTCCCAACCGACTCCCACAAAATGGTACGAAAACAAGCATTTTATCGAACACCTTGTGTGCACTATTAAGTTAAGCATGAAATTAGCACATTCATAGCACACAAGGCCTCAAATCAACATTGTACATATGCCCTAACATCAATCATACATAATCCAAGCATTCCCCACATTCAATTTCATTCAATTCATTCATTGCAAATGGATTCTCTAAACATACACCCTAATATCCAATTCTCCTCAAATCATAAGGTAAATGGCGAAATCAAACCTGGAGACTCAAGTAGGATAGTAGGGAATGATGAGATGAATGAAATGCACTTAACGAAAGTGCGAAAATCTGTCCGGAAGTGGTCGTCAGAGTCTCGCCGGAGTCTCGCCGGAAATCACCTCCGGCGACAAAAACGTTGGCCAAATCTCCTCAAAATGGAGGGATAGGCCGCTTTTGGCGTGGGAAGGATGGGTTGGTGGTTGGTTTGGTGAAAAAATGACAAAAAATGGCCGGAAAAATCGAAAGAGGGTGGTTTGTCGCGGTTTTCCGGCCAGATTCAGAGGATTCCGGCGAGTTTTTAGAATTTTCTGACCTGCTCGGCTGTGCTGGCCGAATATATAGGCCGTGGCTCGGCCACACGGGCGGACGCGCACGGCCGTGCAAGGTGCACTTTTGCCCGTGTTGGCCGACACGGCGAGGCCGAGGAATTCCACACGGCCGTGCAAATTTGCACTTTTGGCCGTGTGGAATTTGCCGAGGGCTCACACGGCCAGAGGATAAAATCCACACGGCCGTGCGAGAATTTGGGTTGCCCGTGTCGGCCACACGGCCAGGCCAGGCCAATCCACACGGCCGTGCAAATTGCACTTTTGGCCGTGCGAAAATTGCCGAGGGCTCACACGGCCAGAGGATAAAATCCACACGGCCGTGCGAGAAGATGGCCTGGCCGTGTGAGCTGCTGGAGCCCCGAAATCAACCTGTTTTCACCAAAAAACGACATTCGACTCTGGAACAACATCTCAAGACTCAAAAAACACAAAAAAAACAAAACGAAAAAAGTAAGAAAATGCAAACCTCGGTGGGGTTGCCTCCCCACAAGCGCTTCTTTACCGTCTTTTAGCTGGACGCCAGTATGGATGCTCAGGGAAGTGTAGGATCAGGTGCCTTCAAGAGCGGATCCACATCGCTCTTGAGGTACAACTTCAAATGGTGGCCATGCACGCGACGAATGTGGCCACCAGCATTCGCCAGCTCGACTTGGCCATCCGGCAATATGCAAGCGAGTGAATACTCGGATGGCCAAGGTGGGGGCGGGACCAGCTCGTATTGGTCTCCGGCTCTCTTTCGAGCAGGCTTAGCTGCCTGCAGTTTCGGCCGCCACTCCTCCTTGATCTGTACTTTTGGTGAGGGAGTGGTCAGGAGTGGCGGCGAAGGTGTGGGAGGCGGGTCCTGCAAAATAGGCAACACAGAAGGATACACGACCGACTCGTGCTCCTGGTGAGATACAGCATGCAGAGGTGACGAAGCAGGTAAAGTATCAGCAATTGAAAACGTTATTCGCTCCTCGCCATCCCTCAAAACTAAGGTCCCATCATGCACATCTATGAGAGCCTTGGCGGTGGCCAGGAAAGGCCTTCCCAGTATAAGGGGCACTTCTGTGTCCTCATTGATGTCCAGGACAACAAAATCCACAGGATAATTGAATTTGCCAACCTTAACCAGAAGGTCTTCCACTATGCCCCTAGGATGCACTACAGATCGGTCAGCTAATTGGAGGGTCATCCTAGTAGCGCGGGGTTCACCTAGGCCTAGTTTCTTGAACAATTTATACGGCATAACATTGATACTAGCACCTAAATCCTCCAAGGACCTCTCTACATGCAACTTATCAATAGAGCACGGGATAGTAAAACTACCTGGGTCCTTCTTCTTCTGCGGAAGCTTGTTCTGCAGAATAGCCGAGCACTCCTCGCTGAGCTCCACAGTGGCCAGCTCACTCAGCTTCTGCTTCTTCGAAAGAAGCTCTTTCAGAAATTTCGCATACTTGGGCATTTGCGATAGTGCCTCCAGGAAGGGCACTTGGACATTCAGCTTCTTAAGCATGGCCATGAAGTTTTCGAACTCTGCCTCCAGCCTGTCTCTGTGCAACCGAGTAGGGAAGGGGAGTTTCGGGATATACTCCTTCACTACCGGTTGCGGCTTAGGTGCAGGCACCTCAACCTCCTTTTCTGCCTCTTCTTCAACCGCTGGAGGCGCTAAGACAGGGATCTCTCTCTCTCTCTCTTGTTCCCGAGCAGGTGGATCAACAGTCATCTTGCCACTCCTGGTCATGATGGCATTGCAGTGCTCATTCGGGGTCGGCGGATGAGGGATGGTCTGCCCAGGTATAGTACCAGGAGTCCTTTGAGCCACTGCCCAAGCCACGCTTCCCAGTTGGGTCTGGATATCCTGCAAGACAGCCTGTGTGTTCCTCTGACCAGCTTCAAGAGCCAAGAATTTACCCGAGGCCTTTTCCATGAACTGCTCGATAGTGTTGAACTTCTGAGCACTAGAACTGGTGAGAGAACCCACCAAGTCCCGCAATTCAACCATCTGATCATTCTGCACCTTGCTGCTGGAAAGGTCGCGGCTGTGATTGAGCAGCATGCCCCGGCATGGGCTGGTAGAGAGACTGTTGCTGCTGCTGGAATTGCCCCTGTCTGGGCTGATATGGTGGCCTCTGGAAACCCGGTGGTCCCTGGGGAACTGGTGGTCTGGAACTTGCCCCACCCCAGGAGAAGTTAGGATGCTGGCGCCACCCCCTCATTGTAAGTGTTACTGTAGGGGTCGTTGCGCCTGACGTTATTGATGAAGTTCACCTGCTCCTGGGGTGTGGTTGATTCCTTCATCGCCTGGCAGTCCTCTACGGTGTGATGGGAACTCTCACACCACTGGCAGTGCATCGCCTGCGGCTGCCCTGTACCTGCAATCAAACCAGAACGATCGATAGCTGAAACCAGCTTCGATACTACCTGCACCAAATCAGATGACTGGGTGCCCACAGCATGCACACCCCGTCCGGGTGCTCGTCTCGATCTCCTGGCAGTTCCCCAATTAGGGTTGGCAACGGGGCGGATCGGGGACGGGTAGCTAGTTCCCGTTACCCATCCGTCAAGGCTGACGGATTTCCCCGTCCCCGTCCCCGTCCCTTTGTCGGGGCACGTTTGGTTTCCGTCACCGTCCCCAGACGGATTCGGGTTAACCACGGATCACCACGGATCCTGAGTAAAATACAAAAAAAAGGAAAAAAACTAATAAAAAATTCCTGAAATTCAAACTTCACATTACCTTGATGTTCAAGGCACATAAATTCAACACACAATGACACAAAAGAGAAGATCTGGGGCTGTAACCCTCCCACCACCCAACACCCAGATCTTCAATGTTCAAACAATGAAACAAAAGTGATAGGTTGCAGCAACCAAACAAGCTGCTGCAACCAAAACCCACCACCCAAAACCCATATAACATGTTCTTCACTAATCACTACACTAGTGTTCAAGTTCAAAACTCAAAAGGAAGAGATAAAAAAACAAAGGCAGACAGCCTCAATAACATCATCCATAAATCAAACTAAAACCTATACTAATAGCACACACGAGTTCCTTTGATCTTTTCTTCCAAAAAGTAAGCAACACCATGCTGCTGGAAACCAACTCAACACTCAACAGCAGCATTCATCCTTGAAAAATGAAAAGCAATCACTGCAAGAAACAGAGTAGCAAACACAGTTAGATAAGTGAAAGTCACTTTTAAATTGAACAAGTTAAAAGGCTCAAGTCTAGCTCAATACCTTGCACCTTTCATTGCATTGAACAAATCAGTCGTCTAGGGATATTAGATGCTTCCTCATCACAAGTCCCCCCTGAACTGTAAGAATAAAAAATTACAGTTAGAGATTGAAACTATCAAACTAAGTACCAATCTAAATTGAACTAATTACCAGCTTCGTCTTGATCTTCAGTACTGGAATCTGAAATTGCTAGAGCAGAGAACACCCCTTCCATTGCCTCTACAGCAGCCTTCGATGATTCTGCAGATTGAAGAAAACAATGAAAAAGACAATTAATATTCAATCAAGTTAACATTTTAATGAAAAAGACAAGTAATTGCAGATTACCTTGTTGCATTTCCTCCATAATCCAACTTCTGGTACACATCATTGCCTCTATTGTATCATAGTGCAATCTACTCCGATGAGGGTCTATTAACCTCCCACCAGAGCTAAAAGCAGATTCAGAAGCCACTGATGTAATTGGTATGGCCAAGAAATCCCTTGCAATTGCTTGCAAAGTGGGGTACTTAAGGCCATTCAGTTTCCACCACATCAGTATATCAAAGTCAGGAGACCTTTTAGGAATCAGTTCCTCAAGAAGATAGTGATCCAGTTCAGTATGGACCAGAGTTGCTTTGCTTTTTTTCCTCCGACTCACAAACAGTTCAAAATCAAGATCATCATTTGCAGGAGTAGAAGAACTATCATAAGCAGTTGAAGAACCAGAATTGTTCCTCTCAGACTTGGTTTGGTAATCAAGCACCAAACCACAAATACATTGCTTAATCTTATCAGCCACCAAGTCAGTATTAGTACTGCCAAACTTAGCAGCATAATACTCAATCACATGCAACTTGTATCTAGGATCAAGAACCACTGACACAGCGAGAACCAAGTGTATATCATCCCAATACTTAGAAAATTTCTCCCACATACTCTCAGCCATAGCCGAGATAAGAGAATTGGTATCAGCACACCATTCCAACAATTTCAGTCTCAGATCACAAACCTTGGGGAAAAACAAATTAGCAGTGGGATACTTGCTGCCAGAAAACAGCTTTGTGATCTCACTGAAAATTTCCAGCTTATCAATGACCATAGCAGCAAACTCCCAGTGCATACTAGTAGGGACAGTGGTGTATTGACTATCCCACTGCCTCAAACGAGAGAAAACATCTCTATACACAATGGCTGTAGATAGCATATCATAGGTGGAGTTCCACCTAGTTGGACAATCAAGCACAAGTTGCTTCTCACAAGGCACTTTAAGCTGCTTAGCAGTTTCAAAGAAGGTTTGTACCCTCTTAGGAGTGGACTTCCAGTACACAACACTATCTCTAACCAATTCAATGCCATCTTTGATGACTTCCAACCCTTCTTTCACAATGAGATTCAAAACATGAGCAGAACATCTCATTTGAACCAGCACACCATCCAACAACAGATCATCACTAGCAAGTTTAGTTTTCATATGAGTAATCATGGCATCATTGGTGGTACAGTTATCCAAGGTAATCGAGGACAACTTTCTATCAAGATTCCAACCAAGCAAACACTTGAACAACCTATCTCCCAACCTCTTACTAGTATGAGGGGCAGGGACATAGATGAAACTCAACATCATGTTTTTAAGTTTCCAAGAATTGTCAATAAAATGACCAGTAACGGCCATATACCCCATCTTTTGGTTAGTTGCAGTCCACATATCAGTTGTGACTGCAACTCTACCAATATTACCATCTAAAACCTTCTGAAGCTTTGCCATCTCAGCCCCATATAAAGCAAATATGTCCCTCTTCACTGTATTTCTACAAGGGACAGTGAACTGGGGTTGCAAAGAACAACAGAAACGTTTAAACCCCACATGTTCAACAATGTTCAGGGGATACTCATGCACCATAATCATAGAGCACAATTCCTTCCTAGACACATCAGAATTGAATTGAGTAGCAGATAGGAGGGGTTTTCCAGTTGGTTTATAATCAGGACCAAGAACTCTCTGCCTACCATCATGTATCTTTCTTTGGGTGCAAGTTTTGTAATGGTTCCTCAAGTGGGAGGTTCCATTACTAGTATCACCACCTAAACGTTTTCGACAGTATTTACACTTGGCTTTAATCTCCCCATTAAACTTGACCCTCACAAAATGTGGCCAGACATCAGAAGTCAATTTACGATCTTCAGCCAGAATTATTTCAACATTTTCATTCCCAGAACCATTAGCATCATTCCCAGAACCATTACCATCATTCCCAGAACCATTAGCATCATTCCCAGAACCATTACCATTAACATTGCCATTACCATTACCATTACCATTACCATTACCATTACCGTTTTGATTAGAAGGCACAGTAGGATCATTCGCATTCAAAGCACAATTTTCAGTAGCACCATCCATCTACATAAACAATTAAATAATTGCATTCAATCAATCAACCAAAACTATAAACTACCCAGACAAATCACACAACACACAATACAAATTACAATCGACTAAATCGAGAGTTGAATTGGACCAATAAAAAAGGAAAGTCTTCGATTGGAAGTTACCTGTAATCTGGAGAGGGACTGAGGGAGACTCTGTTCACCAGACTGCAGATGGTGAGCACTGAGCTGATGCCTCGAATGATAGACACAGCTGATGCCTCGAATGCGAAGCTAAACAACTCCCAAACAATGCCAAAAAAACAAAAGAAAATTAGCATGCATGCATCGAATGATAGACACAGCTCATGAATCTGGAAAAATAATGGGTTAAGTTTGTGCTTACCTCGACTGTGCTCTGAGCAGAGTGCAGGTAATGGGTTTAAGGAAGAAGGCTGACCAGTGACCTGAAATTAATCGAGGGGTTGATTTATATACGAGAAGAAGGAAGAAGGCAAGAAAGTTGCAGCAGAATACGAAGGGAAAAGGGGGAGAAGGAACTTATCTCGCTCGATGTGCGATATCACGTCGATTTCCCCCAATAGCTGCAAATCGAAGATTGCAGCGGGCAATTTAGGGCTCTGCATGCTGTTTCCCGACGGAAATCGGCGGCAAAACTTAGCATCCAATTGGCCAAAATGAGAGATAATGATTGCCAGTAGGCAATCATAATTGTATAAAGAAGCTGGATTGGGAGGAAATCGTGGGGAACAGAGAGATTTTTGAGGCGGATTAGATGTTTGGAGATTCGATGGAGATTGGAGAGAAAGAAGCTAGGGTTTCGGGAGGTTCTCGAAGAGGAAGATGAGAGGATTAGAGGAATGGGAGCAGTCGTTTGGGACGGCGGAGAGTGGAAAATGAGAGATTAGAGTTTGCTGGGCTCGTTTTATGGTTTATATACGATGTCTAAGCGACGTCGTTTTATGATTCGGGGCGGGGGCGGGGCGGATACCACTAATACCGTCCCCACCCATCACCCGCGACCCACGGGTTTCGGGTAAATCCGAATCCGCCAAAAGCCCACAAGCGGACGGATTTTTAGGGTATAATTCGGGCGGGTTTCGGGTGGATACCCGCTGGGTCGGTCAGGGTTGCCAAGCCTAATTATATATGCATTAATTGCATTAAGGCTGATAAACCCATATGCACAAAAGCGCTAATGTGCATAAAATATGAGGTTTTTAAGACAGCAAGAATCATTTTCTTCCTTTATCCACTGGTCACCGCACACCGCACGTCTTAATTATGTTCTGGTTACATGCATGAGCTAGGAGCGATGCATGTTAGCTAGCAGTAGCATATCATATGCATGCATTCTCTCCCACATTAGATATTCCATCTTTTTCCTGATACACATGATCCAAAGTTCGATTCAAACTCTATGTTTTCGATCGGCTATTAGTTAACTGTCGTCTTCAGTTTCAAGCCCATGGAAGTCTAGATAAAAGGGAAAAAGGAATAGACAATTAATTAAGTCACTAATCACCACTCATCTCCCTTCTAATCATTCAACCGCCAAACGTCTCATCCATCCATCTTACTCATTGATTAGCCACTTAATTAGCTCGCTGATGTAAACGTACGGCTCTACATATATATATTTAGTTGCTTACGTTCATGAACAAAGATGTACAAAAGGGTTGAGGTTTCATATCATACAAACAACAACAGCCATAAAAACTAGATAATGATAATAATGTCTGGTTGGTTTAGAGTTTAGACTCTAATTATTCGTACAACTTATCCAACCTTGTTCAAATATTTTTTTTTTTGCAGGGAAGTGATCGGCTCAACATCTTACTAGTTTAGTCGGTCAGTAATTAAGACAAGTTCGAAAGATGATAGTCGCAAAAAAAAAAAAAAAGTTGAAAGATGTATGTGAGCTTTGCACATTTTAATCGAATTTAAAAAATTTCTAAGAGAGAATGAAACATATGTGATGTATGTAACATTGTTAGCTATTATGTCTTACACTGGCATTTTAGCAAAACACACAATTAAAAATGAAAAAATATATGTCAAGCAATAACATTACAAATCATCATATAATTACTGATAATTTAATCATGCCTCTATTAAAATGTCATGATTTTGATTTGTAAATTATGGAAAAAATAATTTGCATTGACAAAATAAGAGGTAAAATGAAATTATCTGTACCCACTAGGGCTGGGCATACGGGCGGATCATCCGCGGGTTTGGACCGACCCACCCGCATTTGACCCGAATTTCGTTAAGTGGGTGGGTCTGTGTGTGGATGACGGGTTGTGCTGGGAGCCATCCGCCGGGTGGTGGGTGGATTGTGGGTGAGTGTGCGGGTGACCCGCTCAACCCGACAACAAAAAGATCAAAGTCGTTGGCGCTAGAGAGAGGAGAGTGGAGACGTTAGATATAAACTCGGACTGCTCCTGGAGTTTGAACCTCAAAGCCAACCTTCCAAATAGAGATTCCCTCTTCTTCCCTTTACTTTTTCCTCTAATTCTTGTGCCTAGATCACCGCTCTTTCCTTTGTGGAATTATTTTCCTTAGTTCCTTGCACCTAATAATCGTCTCAATCTGTAGAAAACTCTTTCATAATAGAATTTCTATCCAATTTAAGAACTAATTCGACATTTTTCGCCCTATTTCAACTTCTTGTTTCCCTCGATGATTCTCTTCACCTATTATCATGTCAAGTTGACTCCTTTATATTATATATATTGTAATGTGGGTGAACCCACAAACCCACCCGCATCATCCACCATCCGCCCGACCCAACCCGAGACTAAATGTGGGTGGGTGGTGGGTTAAAAATTATCAATCTGTTTAAGCGCGGGTGAGTGCATTTTATGGTCAAAATCCACCCGACCCACCCAATGCCCACCCCTAGTACCCACCACAAAACAAATAATACCACCACCCACGCACCGGCGCGTGTAACAGCTCCGTTTTGGACAAGCCGAGCGTCGGAAAATGAAACGATTAAACAAATAATCCATAATAATAATACTAATAATTAGTTGGATTTCCCGGGAAAACCAAAACCGCTATAAAGTCTCTCTCTGTCTCCTCCACCTTCTACCCTCCCGTCGTCCGATGTCTGGCTGGCTGGTTCTCCCTCCTTCCTCTCTGCGACTCGGTAACTCGTGACTCACCCCAGCCGGCGACTCTGGTCACCTGTTAAACCTTCCGCTTTTCGCTCCACATTTCTCCCGCTTGATTGAACCTATACAACACGTATAAAAGAGGGACCCCCAGAAATCTCCCGCCGTCCGATTTTCGCGGCAACGATGCAGACCCAGACTCTCTCTCTTTTCTCCTATCCTCTCGATAAGCTCGACGTCTCCGTTGGAATCCAACCTCCCCCTTCCCCTCCTCATTCGCCTGATGCGCATCCCCCGGAAAGCCCTAACTTCGACGGTCCAGATACGCCGGAGACCGCAGACCACAAGTGTCCGGGATTCGATAAGCCGATGGCGGAATCGGAGGTCTTCGTCGACGGAGAAGAGAAATCGCCGCGGGGCAAGGGAATCGACACCGCCGCGGTGAAGCTGCAGAAGGTGTACCGGAGTTACAGGACGAGACGGCGGCTTGCTGACTCCGCGGTGGTCGCCGAAGAGCTCTGGTAAGGAAAACCGTGAACAGATTACTGAATCTTAGGGCCTTGTTTTCGGGGGGGTTTTGGGAGCTTAATCGTTTATGGATTCGGTTGCGGTGGAAAATTTTCCCTAGGTGGCAAGCGATTGATTATGCGAGATTGAACCACAGCACGGTTTCCTTTTTCAATTTCTCCAAGCCAGAAACTGCGGCTTCCAGGTGGAATCGGGTTAGCTTGAATGCCTCCAAGGTAATGGTGAATGTCTTCGCTTCCTTGTTTGATTGTTTGATTTGGCCATATTGTCTTCTCAATCAAAGGCAAATGTCCGCCATGGGATCTCCTTCAGCCATTGAAGAGAATGATTGCTGGTTGGAAACTTGATTTTGTCAAGATGAATGAATGGTATTGAATTGGTTCTTTCCCCCCTCTTTTCGGCAGGTGGGTAAGGGATTATCCAAAGACGCAAAAGCACAAAAACTGGCTTTCCAGCATTGGATTGAAGCGGTAATTGACATTGCCCCTTCTTCCATTATTTGAGATCTATGTACTTGTTACAGTGCCCTGATGATGCTTTTGGTTGGCTTTTCTAGATTGATCCAAGGCATAGGTATGGGCACAGCTTGCACGTTTATTATGAAGAGTGGTGCAAAGCTGATTCTGGTCAGCCATTCTTCTTCTGGTGAGAACCCATTTCCCTGTTGAGATTCTTCAAATAATGGAAGAACTTTCGACAAGTCAACAACATGAATATGATTTTTCTGATATGTTAGCTGTAGTGGTTGAGAGGGGTTCTTTAACTGATCCTGGCTGTATCTTTTTAATTGATTTTGGTGTGGCAGCTTCTGTATGGTTCCATAAATTATAGATTCTAAGTCTTTCACACCACTAGCCAACAAGATAAACCAACTAAGCTTCCGATAAGGCTTTTTGTCTTTTACTTCCACTAACCAGCTGAAAAAATTGAATTTTGGTACAAGGAAAAGTCCAAGAATGGATCTTTAAGTCAATTTCATCAACTTCCCTAATGCAGGTTGGACATTGGAGATGGTAAAGAGCTAGAACTGAAGGAATGTCCAAGGTCTAAGCTACGGCAACAGTGCATCAAGTACCTTGGCCCGGTATGAGACTTCAACATGAATGTGTTTTTGTCTCTTTGCTGAATGTTTCTGATTCCATTGGATATGCGGTATTGAGTACTAACACATTTAAGTTGATCATCAGCAAGAGCGAGAGCATTATGAGTACATATTTGTTGATGGCAAACTCACCCGCAAGCTAACTGGTGAACTCATCGACACAACGATAGGATCCAAGTGGATATTTGTCATGAGCACGTTTAAGAGACTGTATGCTGGTGAAGTAAGCATTCTAGCTTAAGAAATGTTAATATTTAGTCTGATTGTGCTTACACATCTTATGGAACAAGCGTTAAACTATGATGGTACTTAATTTTCAGAAAAAGAAAGGTATATTCCATCACTCAAGCTTCCTAGCTGGTGGTGTTACATTAGCTGCAGGAAGGCTGGTTGCAGAGCAGGGAGTTCTTAAGGTATGGCTCTCAAGAACTTTATCAGTAGGGTTATGGTCTAATATCAGAACAAGAAACAACCCTTTTAGCTAACCCCTGGCACTTTCTCTTGAAATAACTTTTGAAACAAGCAGCTAAGCTTCCTTGCATTATATACTGATTTTTTTTTTCCATCGCAGACAATCTCTCCTTACAGTGGACATTACCGTCCAACAGAAGATAATTTCGATACCTTCATATCCTATCTGAAGGATAATGGTGTCAGCTTGGAAAACGTCCAGGTAATTTTTATTCTTGTTATCTGATTCCGGCTAGCCATTCTATCGAAAAAGCTCTTACAAAGTTATCACAATGTGGGGTGATTGTATCTCTCAGATAAACAAGGCCAATGAAGATTCTGATATCTATGATGAAACCAAGTTTGACGACACCAAGTTTGACCCTAGCAGTTTAACAATAGACATCCCCAAGAATCCCGAGCTCCCCATTCCTGAAATTCCAACAACTGAAGACTGTTCTTCCACGACAACAGAAGAACAACTCCTCTCGGAACTCAAGCTGACTGAAACCAGGAGTGAGTACAAAAGGACTTTATCTGGTGGACTCCAGAGCCCAAGAGCAGATGTCCCAAAGACAGCAATCCTCGAGAGGATCAACTCCAAGAAAGCTGCTAAATCATACCAACTAGGCCATCAGGTCTCGCTCAAATGGTCCACAGGAGCTGGCCCGAGAATTGGCTGTATAGCTGATTACCCTGTTCAAGTCAGATCACAGGCCCTGGAGTTTGTTCATCTATCTCCTAGAAGCTTACCAACTCCATCTCGCTATAGGATAGGCGGAGGTTTCCCTTCCCCTAGAACTGAGCTAACGGGTTTACCATCCCCTGCAACTTGAGCAGGCATCTTAGCAAATCTGTCATGGTGACGTGGGTAGTCAAGTTTTTTTGTAATTTTGGTTAGTCCTTGTTTCAGAATATCTCATCTGATGTGTTTTTCATGTTAATCTCTACTTGTTTCTTAAGAGCACTGTGGCTTTTTGGGGCTGTAATTTGCATGTTACTACTATGAGGGAATGAGAATAAGAAATGCTAGACTAGTTTCCTCGAGAACATACATTACAAGCTAACAGAGGTTTTACTTCTGGTAAGAAAAGCTAATACAAACACAGGAAACTAAGAAGTACATAGAAACTTGATAAGCGATCCTGAGTTCTCCAACTACCTCTCTATTTCTGGCTTGCTTCGATCATCAGGATCCTCCTCTCTAACTGTGGAAATGAAGAAGATAAATAAGTTCAAAGAATTCAAGGATGAAATAGAGATTTTTGTGTTGAAATTCAATTGCTTTACCTGGAGAAAGGTTTGGAATTGACCCCTGAGGCGGCAATATTCTCGAGTGACAATGTTCAATGCCTGCAGGCTCCTGGAACACAAAGCAAACAAACGAAAAGAGTGGAATGAGAATTGTGAGGTTCTGCCATGCCGACTTGTGAAAGCTTGTGAAGGTGGAGAAATTTACCTGCTCTTGTTCTTTTCATCAGAAGCCTCACGAAGGTCGCAGCAAGCAAGCTTCATTCGATTTGCGCCAATGCTTTTGATCAATACGAAAGAAGCAGAAGAAAAACCAGAGTCAGAGTTCCATTTTCTTATAACAAACAAAAGAATGGTTGAAGTTAGGACCCCACCTGGAGCTGCTTCCTTTGAGTTGGTGAAGACAACCGTCCATTTTGGAGAAGTCCACATTTTGATGGCTCCTGTAAGGGGAAGTATCATAATATTAGAGAATTTCAAATGACCAAACAGCAAAAAGTAACTGATCAGAAGCATACAGGTGCTTGTTAAGCTCGATGATGATCCTCTCGGCATCATGACAGAAAGAGGAGATTACTTCAGCTATGAATGCAGGATTCTCGTCGTCTTGCAGAGCCTGAATCTGTGAGAATTGGCTGTCCAAAATTCCCTTTCAACCCAAAAACCGAAGAACACAACACATCAAACACCATAATGAAGGGAGACGTAACCCACAAAACCCTTTGGAGGAGCCTACGGAAAGATCAAAATGGGGGAAAGAGAGAGCGGAGAGTAATACCGCATCAAACATGGACTGCACAAGGCTGTTGAGCTGCGCCTTGTGAAATGCTAACTCCATTTCTGAATTCCAAAGCCTCGACCTTGTTTCTTTTGCAGAAGAAAGCAGAGGGTGCGTCCTTGTTGTTCGTTGCAGGACTCTTGCAGGAGTGGTGGTAGTAGCGGGTAACTAGGAGTCTGTTCTGAGTATTATTATATAGCAGAGAACAAGTGAACAACTCTCTTCCATAAGTCAAAGGTCAAGGGTTTTTTTACCGCCTATTTCGATATTTTCTTGGATCAAAGCGAGGGGTTTTCCCCTTGCACATACGAAAGTTGGTTGGTTACTTTACTAGGTTTGTTATAAAATAGTCCTCTCCCCGGTCAAACTACATTTTGAGTTTTGAACTTGCAAAACTTTCTAGGTAAATGGATAGAATATTGCTGAAAAGTGAAAACACCCCCCTCCAATAATTTTTTTACCATCACAAAGGTGAAATTTCTCCTTGGGAATTGAATGATTGTACTATGTTGTAACTTGTGACTAAAAGTTTTGTATAAGTTTTGAATGTGATGAGGGTTTGCAAAATGATACGAATAGGTTTTGATTCATTAGCTTTTTTCTATAATTTTGGTCTAATTTTTAGTCTGCATTCTTGAACATTTTTTGTTTTTTACAGGGTTTAATTTGGATCACTTTTCGCGTTTGGACAATAGGAAATCAACAATACGAAATTGGTTTTGTAGTAATGCAGTATACTATCCTCGTGCATAACCAAATCTTTCCATAGATTATAGTCATAGAAAAAAAATTCCTTGCCAATGCCATTAGAAAAATCCCTCTTCCACGCCAGGATATTGAGGATAAATTGATTTGGCATGAGACAAGAGATGAAATTTTTTCTGTCAAATCCGCTTATCATCTAGCTGTGCTTCTGGATAGGCAGCGAGGGAGATGGCAATCAGTGGCTAGTTGGATGGATAATCCTAGTTGGATTAGTTTGTGGGAAACTAATATCCCGCATAAATTAAAAGTGTTCGTCTGGAAAATTTTCAACCGTATCCTCCCTACCACGTAAGCCCTTATTGAGAAGGATATCTCGGTGTTGCCCAAGTGCCCGGTTTGTTGGGCCCAGACAGAGACAATGGAGCATTTGTTTCTTGATTGTCCTGTGGCAAGGGCTCTTTGGAACCACTCGGGCCTCGAGTATCTTGGGCAAGGGCTTCCTCGACACACATTTCCCCTTTTTTCTGAAAAGAGTTATGTGTCTCATTCATGATTTGCCCATTTTCATGGCAGTAGCGGCCATCCTTTGGTGATATTGGAAGTCTCGTAATTGGGTTGTATTTGAGGGTAAGCAATTTGGAATCCCCGCCTTGATGCCCCAATTTCACCAGCAGTATCACGAATGGATCTGCCTACCAGTTGATTGTGTGGCCATGCCCTTGGTTGATTAGGGGACTCAGGCTGGTAGTGGTGGTCTTCACTATTTGATTTGTATGTGGGATGGAGCAACCCGTTGTGGGTCTCATTCGGCAGGGGCTTTGTTGTTAAGAACCCTGGGGGCATGCCACTCTGGACACAAGGAATTCATGTTGCTGATATTGATGATCCAATGGTGGTCGAGCTCCTGGTTCTTTGGGCCGCGATCCTTTGGTGTCTGGAGAGTGGCTTTGCGGATGTCAGGTTTGAAGGGGATGCCAAGGTCGTTATTGACAAAATTAATCAGGCGAATACTCGCGATTGCACGATGGGGGGTGTACTGGAGGAAGTTGTTCGGCTGATGTCTGGTCACTAGGGTTTTTGTGTACGATTTGTAGGTCGGAGTAGAAATAGGGTAGCCCATTTAGTGGCTTGAAATCTGTACCGGATTCCATATCGTTTTTTTTGATTTTTTGGCCTAGTTAAAATGCAAGATTTAATGTTCTATCTGTTCTTTCAATATAATTGATTATTTTTTGTAAAAAAAAAAGTAATAAAATCCCATAAAATCAAGATGATATGAGATTTATGGACGTTGAAGATGAAACAATTGTATAACAAATAAACTCTCTCTAATTGTATATGATAATGACATTGGCAATGGTTCATCAGGTCGACCGGTTGCTGTAAGCGATGGATGGCTTGATGGAAAAGGTGGACCACTTGAGATAAACGGTCTACCAATTTATTAAAAAGTAGTCAGCGATTTAATAAAAGATGTAGATTGTTTTTCTCCAAGTTCTCATAACTTCTAAGTCATCTTAATAAAGTTCTAAAAGTTTTCATGAATGTCCATTTTCACTACAAAGTCACCAGTGAAAAAAGGTTAGAGAAGATGAAGAATACTAGCTAGCTACTAGCTATAGGTAGGGAGATTGCATCCCGGACAGGCAGCCCAACTTGTGAAGGGTAAAAGTCATGCATGCAATGCAAAACCGTGATTTGCTACTTGCTGCATCCCCTTACTTTAGCGGCCGCTAATTGCTCTGCCGGCTGGCCGGTTGAATCGAAAGCTGGGAAGAGACTTGATCATCACGGGATGCTCTCTTTCCCTTTGCCGCCCCTTTGTTCCCGTTGGCCGGTGTGGCTTTTAGCCCAATGCCTGCTGCGCCTACAGCTACAATTGATGCATGTGTTGTTTTACATAACAACAAAACATGGGATATCATATCGTGGAGGGATCGCTGAAAACCCCTTTTGGGATGGTGTTTGTTCCCCTTTCGTCACCTCCAAATCCATCAAAGTGTTTCTTTGTCTTCCCAAACGCAAACACATTGGGTCCTATTCTGCTTCCATGCATGGCGCCTTGCAATTTCCACCATCATCACCACCATAACATGTTGCCCAAGAAACTTGGGGGGAGTTGATCGAAGTAGTGCGCTCATTATATTGTCTTCTTATAGTTTGACCATCTCGATCGCTTAGCAGAATGTGCATGTCCGAGATGAAAAGAATCTACATATTTAATTTGCATACGGATTAAACTACTATAGTACTATCTCATCTCACACTCATAGTCACTGATGCATCGTGTGTCCTTGTTTTTGCATAATACTGTATATGAATCTCCTCCACCACATAGGAATCGTTAGAGGGCGTCATTTTTTAGTTAGCGAATAACCAAGTCTAGATGATGCAGGTATATAGTTCTCTGATGTATTTGACACGACTTTTTTTCCGGCAAATTAAGTGTGACTTTGACCAGCGGCGGATCCAGGACATAAGAGAGCACTGGACCGCATTTGAATAGAATATTAGATACCATAAACAAAAATATATAATAATATAGTTTTCATTACAATGCCAATTATATAAGAAGGTCTTTTAATTTAGCAAATTCATCAATAATATAATCTCCATCCATACTGATAAAATACTCTTTTTCAAAGAAAATAGCTAAGTAATCAACGAGAAATTCATCGCTCATTTTGTTGCACAAATCAATGTTCATGTTCCATTGCTGAAAATATTCTCTCCATGGTAGTTGTTGAAACGGCTAGGTCAACATTAGACAAATCAACCAACAAATCAATTTGTATTGTGTGTCCATCCCTGTTTCCTCCAGCTTCTCTACTAATTTTGCAAGAGAAGAAACTTCATCTTCCTCACATGAGTAGTGCATTCTCCAAAGAATGCATCACATAGCCTTCAAAGTCTCGAGGCTAAACTCTTGAGCAAGTTTGTAAATATTTTCTTCATCAAAACACCAGAAAGAACGGTTAGAATCTAGTGCCCACTCATTTGAGACGATCGAAATGATAACTCAACAAGTTTGTAAATATTTTCTTAATAAAAATAATGGAAAGAAACCAGCTCGACGGGCTGGCGGAGAAATCTATTTTGGATCTACTCGTCTCCTCGTTCTTGTTTTGTTTTGGGGGGATTGGGAAAATTTTTGAATTTTGCAAGGAAGGGTGTGCTTTAGTTTAGAGTTTTTTATTATTATTTTAATGAAACTTTACACTTTTAGGTTTTCATGTCTTTTTTCAAATAAAATCATTGGGGCTATAGAAAATTTAGTATAAATTTAGAGTAATGGTTTGGATATGTTCATCTGAACCATTTTCCTAGTTACACAAAATCCTATTATCTAATAAAGCTAGACAGGATTTTAAATAGGACTGGGTCAAATATCTAAATTGAAAAATTTTATAAGCACTAAACTAATTCTGGATTTGGAGGAGGGCTGGGCCGGGGCCTGGGTTAGCCTAGCCCTAGATCCGCCACTGACTTTGACACATTCGATCTTATATGACCTTCAAAATTATAGTCCAAAATTTTAGAGTTCATAAGGCTACCACTGCATATAATATAAATTATTTCGTCGGCTAGCAACGAATGAAGAATGTATCAAATGATTACCCATTTGAATGAGCAAAATGGGCCAATTCAATTTCCGCAACACTATATTTCAAAAATCCTATCAAAATTTAGGTACTAACGTATATTATCCTATGAAATTTTGTAACCATACTCATCATCATTCATAAACAGAACGATACCTATATAATCTAACAACTAACATGATTGATAATTAGTGCTTTTCAATCTTTGATGTGTGCCACTAGGTGAACTTGTTGACGAGAACGCAATATGGGCTTGAGACGAAACCCAAATCTGAGACTTGGTTGGGCTGATAATATTCCAACTGCGGGCCCAAGGTTAGAGTGAAAGCCAGCTGGAAACTGCAGGCGGGCTTACGCCATTGGTATAAGCCTTGGTAATTGCAAAATCCTTCTTGCAAGTTGGCCCATGCGTCATCACCCCATCTGCTGTGGGACCCACACCTTACATCATCACATCAGCGTCCCATTGTCAGCCAATTGGGCCTCTCTCTTCTCTTCTCATCTCATCTCATCTCTTCAGTCATTCACCTTCTGCATCTGCAATGTAAGTTGTAACCAACCCGCAACCTCCACACTGTCACCTCTGACCTCTCCTTCCCTTTTTAACCGCGCGCGGTAAATAAAATTTGTTTGTATAAAGGAACAGAGACCAGATTGGCAGAGTATAATGTTTCTACTGTTTTCCCCGGCGGTTAAAGTCGCGGCGAGACCTCCGAGAAGCCAGAACAGCCGCACGAGTAGCCTGGCTCCACATGGGGTGGGTTCCTGCTCGCCACGTGTTGTCTCTCCATCGGTAACCGAAATCGCCCTCTCCTCGCTCTCGTACGTGCCGGGAGGTTGCTCGTGCGAAGGATAGTGGGCGGGCCGACGTGGGATCTGGGGAACCGAAACGTGGCGGGCATGGATACACGGCGCGGGAGTTTTAGGCCATGGGGTGAGTTGGCACGACACGTGGCCGTCGCTAGGCAATCTGTGGGCTAAGCCAGCCACTAGTAATATTTCCCTCTCCTTGCCCTCTTTTTTTCCTTTCTTCGGCAGTTCCCTCTCTCACCTCCTTCACATCTCTCCCTCCCACAGTCCCACTCCTTTTTATTTATTTTTTTGTTGCTTTTTCGAATTTCTGTAGCGATGGAAATGGGTAGAGTCGCCGAGTGGAGTTCGAACTCTGCCGCTGCGTCCTCTTCTACCGCCGCTTCTTCTTCCGCGTCTTCGTCTTCTTCTTTTTCCTCGGCGGCGGCGGCCGGGGTGGATCGGATGGTCCGGGTAGAGCTCGAGGCGGCGGAGGCGCTCGCGGATTTGGCGCATTTGGCGATGCGCGAAGGCGGCGGTTCGCCGAGTAAATGGGGGAGCAAAGGGAAGCGGGCCAAGAAGCGGGTCAAGAGCGAGTCTCCTCCTCCTCCTCCAACTCATCACTCTGCCTTGAACACTGTCCTTGACTCGGTCCAGGATCTTCCTCCGGTCAGTTTATAAAAAATAGTAAAAAAAGGAATTGTTTTTAGGTTGAGTTTAATTTTCCCCAATCTGTTTGGCTTGCTCGTTAGGTAGGTTTTTCCTGAATTGCCAAGTCACTAGGGAAGGTAGTGATGGTGACAGTGGTTGAAAATTGGGCTCTAATGTTGCCGCGGAAATGGAGACATCCAACGTAATGTCGGTTGCTAATTATGAACAACCAAGAGGTTGATGATGATTGGGGAGTTCCTTGGATTAGAATAGAAATTCAATTGGCAAGTGGTCTTTCATCTATGACTTTGAGATTGCCAAGATGCTGAAAGTGGCTAAGAAGCGAAATTTTACCTTGAATTGCATTTTTGCTCTGCATTTGTTCTACTGTCCAATTAGTATGGTGGGTTGGTGATTCATAGTGATATGTCACCAAGGAATGGCACCATTTTCGTGCAGGAATTGAGACATATTTTTGTTTATAACAGGACCAACCAGCTGCTGAGGATTTTCAGCAGCAGCAGCCAGTGTGTGGAAGTGAAACTATAGCCATAAGTCCCGTTAAGCCTGAAAAGAGTGCTGATCTACTTCATAAACGTTGTGGAGCTCGGAGCTTCCCGCCGTTTGGTGGTGGTAGATCGAGGCAAGTTTTGACCGAGGTATGAAAGGGTAATCCCTTCCCTTTCGTCTTTCTTGGATGTTTCTGAGAGTTTATTTCCTTTACTGGTTAGGCTGAGAAGGAAGCAAGAAGACTGCGTAGAATATTGGCAAATAGAGAGTCTGCTAGGCAGACAATTCGCCGTCGACAGGTATAAAACTTGTTCTATCTTCATCAGTTCTCCGATGTCAAGTCTGTTACTTTATGAGACTTCCATTCTGAACTTGTCAACTACTAGCTGACATAGAGGAGTTTCATCACACTCTAATCTCACTTCAACTTGCTTCAGGCTCTGTGTGAAGAATTAACTAGGAAAGCTGCCTGTCTAGCGGTGGAGAATGAAAACCTGAAGAGGGTAAGCAACATACACCTCTTTGCATTCTCTTTCAAGAATTCACAGTTGCGCGAGAACTTGTTATGCCAACATCAACTCTGTTTGTATTGTGAAGGAAAAGGAGTTAGCTCTGAAAGAGCAGGAGTCCCTGGAGACAACTAATAGGCAGTTGAAGTCACAGGTACGATAAGTGATATGCATTGGTTTTTCTCCAATTAGCGAATGCTTATTATTTCTTACCCTCTTGTTTGTTTTTATTTCCAGATGGCCAAGGCAATAAAAGCCGTGGTAGTGGAAGAAGCAGGAGTAGAACTTAAACAATCATGGTTTCAAATGCCTAACCATCATCAACCTGCAAACTGTCAGATGCTATTCTACAACCAACACGCATTTGCACCATTCTGTTGGCCTCCCATTGTCCAATCTCAAGAAGCTCAGGAAACCAGTACAAATACCAATGCTAGAACCTCGCTCTACCTAATGTCCTGCCCTTGGTTCCTGCCCGTGGCTGATAATTCCGCCAATGCTCAGCATCATCCTCAGTCCTCCCACGACTTTAAACACTTCCACAATGTAGTAGCTACGACGGTGGACGACCAATGCAGCGGTGGTACATCTATCCCTCAGAAGGTGGAATCAGAAGCTGCAGAAGTCATGGTGATTGACGATCTCAACGAGATTCCAGTGGGAGATAGAGGTGGGGAATATGATGGACAGCAGGACGAGGTTATTTTTGCCCCTTCTGTTGCACCTTCATCAATTGATGGTGTTAAAAGTGAGATCGATTTGCAGTCTTGCAGTGGGGCAGGTGATGGTGCTAAGCTAAAAGCTGGCCTGACTTGTGATCACAATATCTTCAGTTTTTCAAGCAAGAAGCTGGTGGATGCAGCTGCTGCAACCGTGGCGAGGAGGAGAAGAAAGGAGCTCACGAGGTTGAAGAACCTTCATGGCCGACAATGTCGAACCAACTGTTAAGATATCTCTGTCTTTTGATCTCAGCTTATGCAGTTCAGGGCTACTTTTGCTTGTTTGCTGATTGCATTAAAATTTTGGTAGTCTTGTTGAACAGGCCGCTTGTAGGACTTGACCAAATGTTTTGAGAGCCAAGAGAGGCTAGAATGATACTTATAGAGAGAGAGAGAGAGAGAGAGAGAGAGAGAGGGTAGTTTTATTTTCCTTCAATCAAAAGAGAGGTTTAGAGATAGGCCTATATTTAAAATAGAGTGTGATGCTGCCGTTTTGATGAGCAGAATTGGAAAGGCAGCTTTGAGCGAGAGGATGGACAATGTTTTCCTCCCTGTGCAATAAACAACTATTTTCCCTTGTTTGGCTATTATGGCAATCGAATGCTCAGGTGATCGTATTGGCTGGTCGTATCTACTAAATCTCGGTTTTAGAGTTTAGATCCTGAACAATCAACTTTATCTGTTTGGTGGCTGATGCAATTTCGTGTTCCCTGTTTGCTGTCATAACTTGAGATGCACGCAAATCAGATAATTTCAGAAGCTTGTTTAAGCTTGGACAAAAATTTCTGATTACCCGTGTGTGATTAATATGCAAAGAGCAAACCTACAAGAAAAGCCCTGTAATAGGGAGAGGAGAAGAAGAATAAGAAGATTATCCTGACCAAACCTGTGGCTTGTACACAACGATGGGACTAAGAACAACATGCTTGGTGTCATCCCAAACCAAGGAGCCCGTGGCAATGTAGGTACCATTCTTCAGTTCCCCGCTTACACAGACTTTAAAACTTTGTTTCTGATGCTTCCTGTTGAACACCAATTTCTCCGGAAATACCTCTATCGAAATGCCTTTGGGTGAGGTGACCTTGGCCTTGTAGACGGAGTGTCCAAACCCGACATGCTTGACGCTGCGGTGGAACTCGACAGAGAAGGTTGTGATGCTGGCATTGAGCTGGTAGTGCATGGAAGGGTAGTTGAGGCCGTCACTGCCTTTGGCTGGCTTGATGTCTGCGCAGGAGAGGTTTTTCCTGCTGTGGTAAAGGAGGCTGATATCGGAGTCGTTGTAGCCTTCTTTGCACAAGTAGCTGATGTAGTCGGTCAGTGCCATGTCGTAAACCAAGCCTGGGTGGAGGGCTCGTGTTGGGTTGATCTGGCCCGACCCTGTTGCCAGGCCTTCACCTTCTGCCGGGATCTTGATTGGCGTGGCTGGCAAGTAAGCGAAATGTGTTAATTTGAAACTGGAGCACTGGGTCCCGTCCAACTTCCAAGCTCTGTGTTGAGTAGTTACCTACCTGTGGTCATGATGGCGGACTTGATCATGGCGGGTGACCAGTCAGGGTGGAAGCTCTTGACATAGGCTGCGGTGGCGGTAACATGGGGGCAAGCCATGGAAGTTCCGGAGATGATATTGAAGGGATACCGGCGGGGGTCATCCTTGGTTCCGGTCAAAGTGGCGAGGGTCGAGTAGCCGGCCAATATGGACAGACCAGGGGCTGCAACGTCCGGCTGCGAGCCAGAGAAAGGGAAAGTATGGTCAGAGGAGAGGAGAGGAGGGAGGAAGCAGTTGTTCAGTTCAGTTCAGTTAGTTAGCTAGTTTACCTTGAGAATGCTGGGGCTGATAAATTGAGGCCCTCTGGATGAGAAGGAGGCAATTGCTGGGGCGCTGACGTGGACCGTCCTTGTCTTTTGGATCACGGCCCTTGGGTACTTGGTAGTGTTGATGTATCTATCGATCTTGTCGCCGTCGGCGACGGTAAGTACGGTTCCGGGGATGATGGTGAGGGCGGCAATGTCGGACATTTGTGCGGCGGTCATGATCACTCCGGCACCTTTCATCTCGTTAATGGAGTAGTCTTGGTTGGCGCTTCCCCGGCAGAACACGAGCTTCCCCTTCACTTTCTTTTCATCCAGAGTCCCATAATCGCAAGCGCTGCCCAATCAATTCAACAAATTCATTTCCCAATTGAAGTCTGAAAGGAACAAATCCTTCATTCAACAATTTGATTCCTCTTTTTTTTTTTTTTTACCTTGCATTCCCATATCCACTCACGTTTATGGCGGCTTGAATCCCGCTGGTTAGTGGGTACATGGCCCTTTTGGGCGAAAATGTGTTGATCGAAATTCCCTGGTAAGAAAAGAGAGATGCATGCGTGAGGTGAGCTCGTAGATACTAGCTAGTACCCAACTTCAACTAGAAATGAACAGAGAGACTCACAGCGGATTTCACCCCGTTGCGCAGCTTGACGGCAGTCTTGAACTGGCGGTCAAGGTTGGAAGCCGCCACCGTCAAAATCCATGGCGCCACATTCTGAACCGTGCCCAGAGCCGGCCCAATGTTGCCAGCGGAGCAGGAAACCAGAATCCCCTTCTTCATGGCGTGGAAGGCCCCGATAGCTATGGGATCCACGTGAAACGGTTTGGGGCTCCCGCCGATCGAGACGGAGATGAGGTCTACGCCGTCGGCGATTGCGTCGTCGAATCCGGCCATCAAATTGACGTCGTCGCAGCCGCTGCTCCAGCAGACCTTGTACATGGCGATTCTGGCCGAGGGGACACCACCTCTGGCGGTTCCTCTGGCGATTCCGTACAGGCTGGCTCCCCCGACGGGAACTCCGGCCACCGTGGAGGAGGTGTGGGAGCCGTGGCCGTCCAAGTCCGCGGGAGTCTCGACATCGATGTTAGGGTCCATCTGGTCCAGGTTGTAGAATCTCGCTCCGATCACTTTACTGGTCGATGGGGAATCAGAATTAGAAACGAAGCAGAGAGGGAGGTGGGAAAACAGGGGAAATTTGAATGAAATGGAAGGGAAGGTCTAACTTGTTGCAGCCGGTGAAGTTGGCGCCGGAGTCGCATTTGCCTTTCCATTTGGCTGGCGGTGGGCCAAAGCCTGAAGCGTTGAAGCTTGGAGCATCCGGGTAGATTCCTGTATGTAATCATCATTTACATTCCCCCACCCTACGTTAATGTTCTTTGGTTAATTGAAACAAAAATTTGAAGACTTTGGTCAAGAATTTGATTTGAGTTGTTACCAGTATCCAACAAACCAACGATTATGTTGCTTTCCACCGTTGCTTTTCTCCTTACATCTTGTGGCATCTTTAGGAAGTTCCATGACCTAGTTGTGTGTAGTTGGTTCTTTTGGCTTTCAAACACAGAGACTACACCTTCACGCCCTGCAAAATGGGGAGGAAGCAAAGACACAAATATGGGCAAAATGAATTCCATCACTCACTAGCTAGATTACATTTCGAAATTCAGGAACAACATCACGTCGACAGAAAATAACTTGAATTTTACCCCTTATCCTATGAGCTTCTTCGGGCAAAAGCCTCGCTGCAAACCCATTAAAACTTCTCGTGTAGCTATATAGTTTGGCACTTCTAGCCATGGATTCACTGAAAATATAATTCATATTGATTGAATTTCACGAGGAAAGTAAATCAATCACAATCACCTAGTAATAATTGTTTTATTTATTAATCTTACTCTTGGATTGCCGAGAGAAGCAAGTCATGGTGTTGGTCTAGTGCTGAAATATGAGATCTAGTTGGTGATACATCTCCCATGTACACTATGTACACCTGATTTTGTCATCACCACCAAAATATTAGTACTACATTAATCGAAGAATTCGTAAGCTTCTAGCCACATCAAATCATGAGTTACATGTATACATAATTATACAATCGAAATCCACACATGTCAATTTCTATTTTGTATGAGCATTCATCATCATGTATGTACACAAACATATTGCTACGACATTACTACATATCACTCGTGATTCTCCGATCAATTAGAACGCAATTACTCCATAAATAACATGAGATCTAGCACGAACCTTTCTTTGTTGGGCAACAGTGGCATGGGTGATGGAGGAAGAGAGGTGGAGAAGGGTAATGAGCAGTGGTAAGAAGAAGAAGAAGAAGTGGATCGAAGACGGCATTTTTGCTGAGAAATGTAATGGATTCACCACGTACGTATAGAGTGAAGAACACAGGAAGAAAGGGAATTGGGAGGAAGGAGAGTTGTTTTTTGTTGTTAGAGAATGGTTATTAATAGAAAAGGAAAAAGGGAATTAATTAGAAGTTGTTAATTTATTTATTTGGTTCAACATACACATAGAAGAGAGCGCAGTAGATGGGGGAGGAAGTGTTAGGATTTTGTGGATCCTGGGAAGGGCAGTAAATCGGAGAATTTTACCGGTTTCGACACCTAACCAAATCAAATCCCCCAAAGACCTTTTCACTCATCTCCCTCCCACAATAATTACTATCTACAAAATAAAATATCTAAATAAAAATATACATAAAGACCTTTTCATTTTGTTCTTGACTGAGAAAAAAATGAGACATGTTTTTTGTTCAAAATCAGGAATATAACAAGATCAAGCAAAATCAGTAATATAACAAGATCAAGCAAAATCAGAAATATAACAAGATCAAGCTTACCAACTGAACACCTATTTTGAACACGACCATAAAGAATAAACCCCCCGATGAATCCAGTAAAGGAAAAAAAATCTCTTGAAAGTGGTAAGGACTAAGAATGGAATGCTTCTTTGTTATTGAGGTTGGGCTTTCTCCTCATTTTCTTTCTACTTTTGGATCAGCAGCCCATGGCCTCAAATAGGTATTTCAGTATGTCCCAGCCAGGCCCATTTAAGGCCCAGTGCCATACTAACTGAAGTAGTAAAGAAAAGTAAGTAAGGCACAATGCTTGCACGAAGCCTAAACATTAAACAAAAGAGTGCCAACGGACGTACATACCACTACCAGTCCCAGAGCTCACCAATTGACCATGCACCAGCACCGACAATATCTGATCACCGAATGGCCTGGAGCTCAAATATTCCCTATATATTTTTATTTATTTATTTATTTATGCAGCGATAAGTGGATAATATAAAAGTTTCATACATACATACGCCGCAAACAACAAAAACTCGCGAGTTTTCGTGCTTTCCAAAGAGCTAACGCTGAGTTCTGACAGTAGATTCAATGAACCAGATGCTGACAGCGCCACCATCGCAGCAGCGGGTAGTGCCTAGTTCTCAGATCTGGCTGGGCGGCACTGGATCGGATATATTACTGTTTATAGCATATCGAAGCCTAACATAACATAGAAAGGCTGCAGGCCTCGAGCTAGCTAGGGAGTGCCCCGAAACCTGCCAAGAAAACAGGCTAGCTAGATCAAATGTGATCCATCCAAATTATGCGAAGAACTTGATAATGTATTTTAAGTTTTTAACTAACTAGTGTAATTGTCTATTGGGAAACGGTAATCTTCTTTAATACTAACCATATCTCGAAATGATCGGATGAAGAATATTATTGTTTCCAAATACTATGATTTGTAGTTGTAGGGGGAGGTCATTAGGGCGTCTTTGTAGGAGAATTCAAACTCTAGCTAGGCTCATTCATTCAGGAGAATACAAAGGTTTAATTTTGAGCATAACACTGCTGTTAGCTAGTTTCGAGACCTCCATTTGAGAATGACGATATGTTGTAAATATCGCGCACTGGTATTTTTGAAAATCCGAATCGATGTATATGCTTCTGAACAAATCGAATTTGCTTGCTTGCTCATACATGATGGCTACAACATGCATGTGTGTACAAGACACATGAAATCAAAGTTGAATTCGCAGTATATACACACATAATTAAACCAAGAGTGGCAGCAGCAATTGGCATTGGTACATTCATACACAATTAATTACATACTGAAGATATACATACATGGCGCTGCCGACACACCAAAGAGAAGAGAAGAGAAGAGATTTTATATTGCGACAATGAATTCAATCAATCAAGCTCATCAGTTGGCACGTGGCCATATATATTCAAATCGTGCATATACCCACATACTGTCTCTTTCTTTCTTTCTTTGTTTCATTTCACGCTTCTGTTTTCCTTCCATCAAGTCTTTCCATTCCATTCCAGTTGATGTTCGCCTAAACCTCAAACCATATATATATATATATATAGTGGATCCAATAATGGTGGGCCGGCCGGGTTAATTTGAAACGAAATCTGCATCATGATGATATATTCAATTCATGCGTGTGGATCGGAGTAACAAACCGCAGATAGACCTTTAATTTCTTTGTCGTACGAGGACCGGCAAGCCGCCGCTGAAAGTGGCGGTGAGGCCAGGGGAGAATCTCGGGTGGTGGTGATCATCGGACGACGTCGTTGGATTGAAGTGGAACCTCCGAAGCAAGGATACCGCCACGGTCTTCATCTCCACCAAGGCCATCTCCTTCCCGAGACAGACCCTCAACCCGGCCTGGAAAACCGGGTACTCGAACGGGTTCACGGGCGGGCAGAAGGACCCGGACCCGCTCCTCAACCACCTCTCGGGTTTGAAGTCGAGGCAGTCCCGGCCCCATATCCCTTCACTCCTCCCCATCGCGTAGGGGTGGTAGGTAACCCTATCCCCCTTCCTCACGGGCGTCCCGTCCGGCAAAACGTCGTCGCTTTGGGCGAACTTGGAGTCGAACTGGATGGGCGGGTACAGCCTCATGCTCTCGTACACCGCCGCCTGGAGGTACTGCAGCTTCTCCACCTGCTCGTAGCTCACCGAGTCGTCGTCGGGGCCCAGCACGCGGCTGGCCTCCGCCAGGATCTCCGACTGCACGTGGCGGTGTTTGGCGACCAGCCAGAAGAAGCTGGTGAGCGCGGCCGCCACGGTGTCCCTCCCCGCCAGGAGGAAGCTGATGATGATGTCGCGGAGGAATACGTCGTCGTTTCCGACCACCCGCATGAACCGGGACAGCAGATCCTCCTCGGCCTCCTCCTCCTGAAGAAGAAGAAGTAGGTGGTTCCGCTTGTTGGTGATGACCTGGTTCGCCACCGCGTCCACCAAGCGGATGGCCTGCTTCATCCTCCTCTCGTTGCCGATGTTGAAGAACCTCTGCAGCTTCCACACGAGAGGGGAGACGGCCATGGCACGCTCCGCGGAGAGCCTGGAGGCGAGGTCGAAGGCCTGGGCGAACTCGGACACGTCGAGGAGGCAGCGGGGGTCGAGGCCGAAGGAGAAGCGGCACATGGTGTCGAAGGAGAAGCGGCGGAAGAGGTCTTGCAAGTCGACGGCGGCTGCGGAAGAGGAGGAAGAAGAAAGGAGGAGGGGTAGGAGGCGGTGGTGGAGCTCGTGGAGGACGATGGCGGTGAGGAAGGAAGAGGAGGAAGGGAGGAGGAGGGAGGAGGCGGTGAGCTTGCGCTGGAAGAGCCAGGAAGGGCCGTCGACGTTGAAGATGCCGTGGCCGAGGAAGTCGGAGAGGATGGAGGAGAAGGGCTTCCCCTTTGGGTAGTTGTGGAAGTTGGACTTGAGGATGTGCCGGACGCTGCCCGGGTTGGCGGTGATGACGTTGCCGAGGACGTGGACGTGGATGGTCTGCGTCGGGGAGCGGGACAGGAGGTCCGAGTACCAGTCGGAGAGGTTCACGAACTTGTCTCTCCAGCTCTGCGTCACGTAGGCTCGGCAGATCTCGCAGTTGCACCACCACCGGCGGAGCCAAAGGGAGAAGATGAGGATCAGGAGGAGGAGGAGGAGGATGAAGAAGAAGGAGGATGAACTACTTGTGGTGCTGGTGGGAAGTTGGAAGAGTTCCATCGAAAAGGAAATGTTACGTTGTCTTTCTGTCTGTCCCTTCTTCTCAGTGGTTAGGTGGGATATGGGAGCCAATGGGAAGATAGGTTAGGAATTAGGTTTTGCGAGTGAGAAAAGAAAACTACTATACTCTATGTATTTGTATGTATTAGATGCCGGTCGGTTTTCAAAAGGACAGATTGATAATTAATATTTAGATAGTGCAATTATTACAACTCATTTATTTGTTTGTGGCTGTGGGACTGTGTTGGTGTACCCGTACTACTGAAGCTGTGTTGATTTTATTTGATCTTTCTGATGAGTGGAGTGGAGTGGAGTGGAGTGTTGTGTCATGTTAGAAGGACAATGATGAAGCAAAGGGAAAGGCGTAAACTAAGAGAATAAATAAAGTCCCTTAGCTTATTAATGGAACTCGTGCCCTAAACTCCTTTAAAGAACTATCCAAAAAAAAAAAAAAAAAAACTCCTTTAAAGAAAAGGATATATATGTTGCTTAGAGGCTAGAGCTGCCATCTTGCTGGCTCTCCCAGTTCTAGCTAGGCTTTTTCCAAAATTAGTTGACCCACGTGTTTTTTTATGGCTACCAACAAGCTAAGCAAGCTTTCTGTTTTTAGTATTGCTCCTGCAACTATTTTTTCTCAATCTTGGACAAAATTATTTATGTTTGCACGGTAGTCTCAAATACGTTGGTAAACTGACAATTTTTATTCAATCTATCAAACTAACAATAATTACTTAGTTTCAGCCTACAATCCAGGCTTCCACTAACAGACCCTCAATCCCACGACCCTTAAAACAAGCTAACTATCTTGACAACTAGGCTACTGACTTGCTGCCTTTTGACTCAATCCACGCAGGGACCTTATTGACTCAATTTACAGACTCTAAGAACTCAAACACACTAAACCAAAACGACACAGTCTAGGACTTAAATCGACACTTTAAACATTCACACACATTTGTTCTTCCCGCCTTCTGCTGACATGATCTAGCCTCGATGCATCCAACATGCACCTTAGGTATAGGTAAAAATTATATTTGTATCATAAAAATTAAATCGGACCAAATTGCTCTATAATTCCATCTTTTGGAAAAGTTAAAAAGTGATTTTAATAACATAAAACCAAAAGCTCTAGTTTTATCATGGAAAAACTGACCTATATATATATTTTATCATTTAATAGTATCAGTCAAATACTTAATTGATTATTTTAAAAAATACATATCTAAAAGTTATAGCCAAAAACTGTATTTGTAAAAGTTTTTTGGGGCCAAATTGATATATGTTTATTTTTTGTGGATATTTTTTTAATAAGGATGATATATAGTTATTTTTTGTGGTTAGATATTATTTAATGAATTCGAATCTAAGACATCTTAAGTTTAAAACTAGTGATATTATCACTATTATTACACCAATACATTCTTAATTAATTACCAGTATTAATATTACACCACACCACAAAGCCATATCCTACGTATTAATTTACAATTAAATAGGCTTTATATAATTAATCTCGTCGGTATTCTAGACTATTTGCCATCTTGGAAATTACTCTAAAATCTCAAACTCTTCTTCCCAATCCCAATCCCATTCTCGATCGATCTTCTCCCGTGCGCCCTTCACCGACCGGCGGCCGCAAGCAATCTGAAGCTGCGTGCCTCTGTCCTCCGCCTCAATCCAGAGCTAGAGTACTAGTTGCATGTAAAGCAACCAAATCAATTATGTCAGTTTCCGCACGTACGTACGTAGTATATATTCTTTATATATCGCTCATAGGATATTACACGAAGTACGTACGTACGTGTACCTAGCTTAATTGTAAATGGAGGCAGCAAGCTAAGCTAGCCATAATAATACTATACTATACTATACTATACTATATAGAGAGAGGTGGTGGAACTGGAAGAAGACGTGCGGTATATATATGAGTAGGCAGTTGAATTCAGTGTCAGACTTCCATGTCCCATGTCGGGCAGCTCTCCACTTTCAAACACCCTTTTCCCCCCTTCTTTGTTTTCAGGAATAATATTCCCAACCATAATCGATTCTCCCTCTTCTTAATTTTGCGCATAATAGAATATTAGGATCGATGCTCGTGTTGTATGGAATAATCACCGAGGGAAGGAAGACTCTGTACATACATTTTCTGCGGCTGTTTATATATAGATATTTATATAGCTTGAACCTGTGAGGAGTTGTCTATATATAGAGTCTTATGAATAGATGTTGGATCATTTATCAATCCACACTTCTATCATACATGTATTAAATCTTGGGAAGGAACACCCCCCTAAAATTTGGGTATTACCCAAACTCAATTCTTTATGATTTAAATAAGGTTTGGCTAATATCATCTTTGTGGGTATATATATATTTATATAGTTGTAAATCTAAATTAGACTCATTGTATTCGGTACTCTAAAGAAAATGAATATTAAATTGCATGTCGTTTTTGCCTATTCTTTGTTCTAAAATAACATAAATATGCAAACACCAGCATTAAAAGTATAGATTTGGTTGAGGGCAATTAATGAGATAGTCGATATTGTTTTTCGTCCGTACAATTATATGGACCCAAATAGATCCATTTGTGTTGGATTAAATGAGTTGTCCCAAATCAGACCCAATTCAAATCTCACATAAATCCAAGATCATTAAATGGAGATATGAATTCATTTGAGTCTGAACCAATACTTATATGAGCCATGACCATTGGGTCAAATTACTCAAAGAATGAAGACATTATCATTATGTGTAGATCTTGTGATGAACTCCAAATTTAATCGTAATTAGCCATGATAAAGGAATTTCAGTTCCAACCAAACCATATATGCCATCCTTTTGAAGGTGATGCATACCATATATATACTGGTAAAAACTCTTGAGTTTCCGTTGTTTCCATTAGTTCATTAATTTAACAATTACATTACATGATTTTGTACTATCTAGTAGCTACTAGTTTTTTTGAATTGAGGTTGTGCCTCTCATCTTTCTTTCACAACAAAACGAGACTCAAAAAGACCTTGACCGTCTCAATCATACATGATAAAGTGACCAAGTACGCAGGATCATAAACAGAAATAGCATGAAAACCCAAAGATAAAGAGTAACCATAATTAGTGAGCTAATCAACACACTTATTTCCCTCAAAATAAATATGGGAGATAGTAACCTATCAATCACAGCAAGTAAAGCCTGGAAGCGGTTGATGATGGCAGTGTGATGATGATCTGACAACTCTCTACTATGGAGGAGCTGAACCACACGCATGGAGTCAAGCTCCATGCAAAGACGACGGTGACCAACGTTTTAGGCCAGTTGAAGACCTTCTACATCGCCTCTCAATTCTGCTTGGATAATAGAACAAATTCCCAGACCAGACACCCATTGTTGCATGGTCTAAATTAGGAAGAATGGAGCCATTTGAATTGAAAGGGAGCCACTCGAGAGGTGCCAGTAGCTACTTGTTAATCAAGTGTTGCATGCACTATAAATTGTAGGTATGGTTAGTGACCTTCAAACTCGTCCAAATACAAGTCGGCAACTTTTATATGATTTATTTTGTTCACTCAAATATCCTTCGTCTAAGCACCTCAATTTTAGAAGACCATATATGTAAAAATGAGAATCAAGATAGTTGATCTCTAATTAAGAGAAGAATTATATGTTCTATCAAGAACGTTACAAAATGAGTTTTTGATTTCGACTATTGTGTCGGGTGGACCTAATGAATAGAAGGGGGCGGGAGGGGACCAAATTATGGGTGGCAGAAATTGGCATGTGACCACATATATATAATGAGATTTGCGGGTAAGTCTCTAAGATCCAACCCGACCAGACCAGGCAACTCCAAAAGTAATGAATGCCGGCCACGGCCAGGGTTTGGCTGCTACTGCATGGCCATTGGCCGCCTTGTAGCGCTATATAGTTTTGGCGCTAAACCAGTAAAAAAGATCTGATAAGAGCTTTTTGTGCGACCTACCAAAATCTGTCTATCAATCGCTCAAATCACAGTACGTGGCTTGTGTGGATATCAATCATTCATCTCGACTCGAGTACGTTTCTTCTTCTTCTTCTTCTTCTTGAGGACTTGCATTTCATTTGCATATATAAATGATTCAACCGTGCATGGCTTCGAAACTAGTTAGTTAACATTCAACCGTGCATGGCTTCGAAACTAGTTAGTTAACTTGCTAGCTAGCTATGCCCATAATTATTGCCATCTTCGAAATGAAAAATCATCATTTGAAGCACAGATAATCCATGATTAAGAAAGATAGCTTTTTTTCCCCATGCACCTTCGATTGAGATCTACTAGATAGATCTATTAATTAGGGTTTAGTTTGTACGTAAAACGAGAAAGAGGGAATGGTGATGATGACAGACTGCGTTCCAAAAAGAGAAATATCCAAGTTGCAGTTGCCAACAATAAAAGGAAGGTCAGGCCATGATGGCAGCTAGCTAGCTAAGTAGCCCACTGAAATTATTGAGCCAGCTAGTTAGTCATTCATAATCTTTATATATGTTGACGTTACAGACTGAACTAACTGCTTACAATTGAGCCCAACCCAACCCAACCCAACCTGACAGACTTGCATGCAGTGGTCACAGCACAGCCTCGTGGGTATCACATGCTCTGAAAGAAAGGGTTATTATCCTGCCTGCCTGCCTGCCTCACCCATTATGTTCCACTTAACTGATCTACCTACCTATACCAACCATGCACCAACACATGTTTGGATATATTACTTTCAGTTTGAGGGTTCTCATCCAACTTCATCATGCTCTTCATTTTTCACGCGAGAGAAAACTCACTTCTCCAACCACCATAAATCGGAGAGAGAGGGGCTCATCTTGAGATACCAAGATAGGAATCAAACCTACAATTCGAATTGGCGACCGTCCCAAATCCAGTCAATACAGAAAATTTCTGCATTGATGACTGGGTATGAAATGAGTACTATAGGTAAAACTTGTAAAATGTTTGATGGGGATGAGAC